AATTCAAAATTAGTCTAATGCTATATATATAACTGAAAATAAAAGATTAAAAAGATAAAAGATTTACTGTATCACTTTAAAACAGTCCTCTTATAACTGTAATAAATGAATGTTTTATAAAAATTTGTGTAATTATTAGAAAAGATAAGATAAAATCATATAATCAATCTACAAATGTAATGAATAAGCACAATGCAAAGTCACACTATAAATATCTTTAACATTTTTAGTACAAATGTACATGCACATATCCATTATTATACAACAAAAAAATTAGGCACCATCAATTCCCACACTTCGTCAATGCTTTCTAGTTTCTTTTCCTTCTCAGCTGTGAGGCTTTTGAACATCTCTACTGTTTTGATGAAACTAGGGTGCTGAACACAATGTGTTTCCACAAACGGTTTGCTGAAGTCATTCCCCCTCAGAATACACACATCTACCAACTCAGCATGGGATGCAAGCTTTAAAAGATACATATAAACAGACTACATTACATGATCATTGGCTTGATCAAGTCTTTTACATGTATGTCTGCATGCACACAGAACTCCTGAAAACAATATCCACCTGTAAGTTCTTTGTACTTAATAACTGTGCTACATTACATATGACAGTAGCATTTTTGAACAGAACAACAGAAGGTTGTTCCCTTTACATACATGTATATCCTATTACCAAAGTTGGAATGAACAAATAGAATATTTACTCAAATCATCTTAAGATTTTGTGATAACAATCCTTTATCAATAATCAACTAAACAATTGCATACCTTCAAAAACTGAGTCACCTTTGCTGGAGTAATGACCCCAACTTTCAAAGATTTCAAGGCCATATTTGTGTTCCATATTCTGTGAAAAGTTTTATCCAGATCAAATAACTCAAAGGGTATAAATCTAGCACCTTTCATCACACAGAAGTCTGAGTCATTTCCTAGGATGGCAAAAGCCTTGTCATCAGACACCATGTATTCTGCCATTACATCATCTGCCTCTCCCCTACAGTATATTACTTCCACTTGATCATGATGAAGTGCAGTTAAAACTTGTTGCTGAAGAAGCACAGGTGAAGGTACATAGTGCCCATGTACAGGGTTATGTTTAGATTGATATCCATGAAATCTGTCCACTACATCTTGAAAAGATTTTGCATTGTTGATGTCTCTTTCATACCAAGTGTCAAATTTCTGTTGAAAATGATCAAGGTCAGAGCCTCTGCCTCCATCAATGAAGAAGACTAAGTCAATATTATTCTTCCAAAACTTCTGAATCAATCGCTTCATCAAATTATCTACCAGATCATATTCACCACCAAAGAATTCTTTCCAACAAGAGTTGATCCCAAGACCACTTGATTCAAAGTCCACCAAGTCATTTATCTTCTTAAAAAGAACAGAGAAACAGAATGCAAAAAAATCAACCAAGATTTTCATGCCATCACGCTTCTTTGCTTCTGCCACCAGATCATATATGTCGGATGTAGCGTCTGCATTGCGCAAGCATGTCCCCAGCAGTCCCTGAATGCCCATCTTTGTGAAAGCTATGATATGCCTATAGATAAGTAGTCAGTAATATCTCTTGCAGTTATAGGTATCTAAGCCATGTCATTGCATTAAAATCCCCATATCCTGAACTGTAGTGAAAATTTATGATATATAGTCTCTAAAGTTCTTCCTTCTGAAATGAAAGTAAAATTGTAAGTACATAATTATATGTGTGTGTATGTGTGTGCATGTGTGACACTCACACTCTCTCTCTCTCTCTCTCTCTCTCTCTCTCTCTATATATATATATATATATATTATATATATATTATGCCCAAGATTGTAATAATCAATGTTGAGCTGATATATAACTGGTTTTAAGCAATATAACAGCTAATAATGTATGTATGGCTCTATTCCCATAGATTTTAGATCGATCTATCCCCGCGGGGAGTCTCACTAGATTACTTTCAGATAATCTGACTTAAATGTCCGTCCCGCCTACTACAAGCTATAAGGGGGTAATTAACTTTCGTGTCCGCCCAGCTGACAGCCATTTAGCGTAAACCCCCAGGGAGTTAGGTCGATCTAAAGTAGGTCGATCTAATCTATGGAAATGGGGTGTTTGATGTCACATTGCAACAATATTGAAAGTAAAAAATAAATTTAATTTCATTTCCAAAGTGGAGCAGACACTAGCCAGTAACATGAACATATGCACAGTTCACAGCGATGTTGATGTCAACTTTGATAAAAGGCACAAGGGTACGTTTTTGTGGATCACAAATATATGTGTGATGCCATATTGCAACAAGAATAAAAAAGTATTGATTAGCATCCCCAAATTCCAGCAGATCTTAGCTGGTAACATGAACATATACATACAGTTTTCTTCTATGTTTACTTCGCATTGACTTCTATGTAAAAGTTGCCAAAATTCGTCCGAAGATATCATACTTCACAGTTCCTGACCACTTGTGTCAGTGAAGTCGAGTTATTTACCTGGTTGATTTCCTTTACAGGCTTTTGTAATTAGCCGCTGCACACCTGGTTAAGAGAGAAAATCGGCCTAAACTGCCGATCGTTATCTGTGATCGGGAATCTTACAGTGGTAGATTGCAAAGACTCATTTGCTTACCTGGATGAGCATATTATTCACATCTGTTTGAAAAGAAAACCATATGGAAGCAACTGATAATATCAAGGAAGGTTTCAATTGTACTAATAACTGTTGACATTGCATATTGCTGACACATATAACGGGTAGATTTTCAAGCTTACTGAATTGAACCGGTACCGTTTAACTCTCAGGCACGCGTACAAAAGTGAAATGGTGGAAGCTTGCTGTGCACCAGGTGACACAACCAACACATTAATAAAATCTTATGGGATTTGTTAAATTTCAAAGATCAACGGAAAAGTAAACGACTGTTGCAGGCTATAGGTCATGCAAACATGACTAAAGACGGGATTGTTGATCGAAACAAGATTTGGTCATAGCTATACATGCACTACGAGAATTGTGTATGTGTGTATAGTTCATTTTATTATGGATAAGGAGAAAGTCATTGTACCTTGTTTGGAATTTATGTTTGTCATTTGTTATATGAATTAATAAGTATTTACAAGAAATTGAGATTGCACCTTGTGTTGGCGTGTGTGACGGTATATCAATTCTTTTAGTAAAAATTAATGGACTATAACGTCGGACTTTTTTGTTGTAAGTTAATTGAGGGCGTTATAAAGATATATATTGACAAACCTGTGAGTTAATGTCTAAATCTTTAAGAATTCAAGTAAAATATAAAAAAGTTGCCATAAATAAAGCGACCTTAACTGGTAAAATAACATACAGCTTTATTACCGTGTTTGCTATTCAATTTAATTCTAATTTTGTCTTCCATGATATTTCGCCAATTTTCGTACCAGAAAAGTGCACAATAAGATTGTAAACACTCAAAGACGCATAGCTGCAAAAATTAATACAGGTAACACCACGTGTCTTCTCTTCCAAAACGTTTGCAAGCAACTGTTTATGCTGTCCTTCCAGGCTTGTATTAATATACATGTACTGTATACAGACCAAAGAGGCCATGGGACCGATGACATTGCTCCTATCCCGTTCCCCTAGCTATTGCAGCAGCAGGTGATTTAATCACAATTTGTAGAAATCTTATTCTAATAACTTCTCAGTGTTGCACATTTTCCAGGCCTTTCTCACGATCCACCTTCTAAGAAGCCATTCCTATATCACCAACTTATGTACATGTATATACTTAGGGTGAACATTTGCGTATGCAGTTAAGACCAATTTTATCCCGTAACAAGTTAAACAGTAGCTTATTACAAAGGCCTGCTAACTCAATAGTCCAGGTAAATGATTCAACCCGCTTTAACCTTCAATTACGAAAAAGAAGCCATGCCATTGGACAATACGACCTCTGCAGTTACGTCATTTCCTGAATTGGAGGTTAGAGTGGACTGAAATAAACATCAGAGGTGGAATTTTGATTTACGGTTTGATTGTGCGTATGCCATGCACGGAATTTACAAAGGAGCGACGGGGTGATGTAGCCTGCAGTATTTGCGGTAAGCGTGCCAAGTTTTAGGCCGCTCCGATGCCCGGCAGTATTTTATTTCGATTATTATGTTTCAAATGGTTGAGTTTTGTTTCACAAGCTTACTCTATTTTATTGTCTCTATGGAGGTATATGGGGACTTTACGACATTCGGATTGAAGGCTTTAACCACTTGTTATAGTTTATTTTTGCATTGTATTGGATTAATGTGGCAGTCCAAGGTTGTCCTAGGTGGTTTTCAAGTTTATGCACCCGGTTTTTATATCATTTAGCAATTTTACGACAATCGTTTACTATCCAATCAAGGTGACAGCCGAGCGTGGTTGCAGAGTTTGCATCTCAGGCTACTTTCTTACGTCATCATCATCATCATCATTTAGAGCCTATAGTGTTCCACTGTTGGACGAAGGCCTCAGCATGCTTTTTCCATTGTTTCCTATCCTGAGCCTCTTACGTAAAGGGAAAAATTCGACTACAGAAAAACACGTACTTTCCTATCGGATCATAGCTAAAAACAACAACAATCTTGCCTTTACAACAAGAGGCATTTTGAATTCGGGGCCGTAACGATAGTCCGAAGGTTCAATAGTCCGAAGGTTCATTGGTCCGAATGTTCACTACAGAACCTTCGGACCAATGAACCCTTGATTAAAAAACCGATGAAAATGTTACCGTTTTTCGGACCAATGAACCTTCGGACCAATGAACCTTCGGACTATCGAGACGCCCCCTTGAATTCCTCCATGAACAAACATATCAAATTCTCACCTAGCGTCCAAATTGATACAACAAACTGTACTTATACTTAACCGCTATAAGTTAATTGTCTCATATACCCGAAGGACTGCCTCACATCATCGCCGACTACCTGTCCAAATGATACAAAAATCTTCAAAAACCGCGACATGAACTTTACCCGTACGAGGTCACGTGATCCGAAGGCAGACGATTTCACGAGAGCTCGCGCTGGGCCTTTGATCTCTCTCCGCGACAACAGTCCCTTCGAAGCTGGAATGAACTTGTGTAATAATTCAGCTGTAGACTCTACTGCATTATTAGCAATTACAACAGGATCATACTTATTTCTTACTAGTCACTTGGTTTACAGTTAGATCTACTGTTTACTCTTAACTTAAATGAACTCGCCTGGAAATGACCTTTTTGTGCTGACCTTGCAGTGATCGGGCAATATGGCGTCACAACGGTGTTCATAAATATCATCACATATGTTTACAGATGCTGTGGTTTTCAAAGGTAAGACTCAGTGCACATATTATGGTAAAAGCTTGGTGTCGAGTATAAAATCTACACTTATGGAGGTCATATGTGACACTACCATGTTTTTAAAATTGCAATTTCAATCCAAACATGTTAATGCAGCAGCCAATAATTATCTGTAGATTTGGTACGTCTAGGTAGAAGATATTTTGGGTCCTAAGGTACATGTATTTGTGGAGAAGCCAATCTGAGTGTGATATTTGCTCAAGGCGCCGTAATGCAATGATTGGAAGCCATGGGGTCTGTTGCATTGTCACTTATATACACTCTTTAAGGTTCATTAAAATGTGATCCTTACAGTACAGCTTTCATGTGGACTGGGTGAAATCATGAGTGAACTTACTAGTGAACCACTGTGCCATTTGTGGATCCACATTAAGTGCCAAGTGGAGGTAGTTCATTGTATTACTTAATTGTGGGTGACTTTTCAGCAAGGTAGATATTGCCAGTTTAAAATATCAAGGTAAGGTAGATCTAAAAAGAAACTGAACAAATAGATTACAGATCCACCTGGGCTGATTTTCATAGTGGCATAAGGCAATAAGGAGATGAAAGATATGGCTTAATAAGGTCTCTGACTACTAAGATATATATGTGTGTTTGTGAAAATTTTGGATACAATCTTGGTGCATATATTTAAAGGTGTATAATATGATTGAAGTCAATTTTTTGCTACAAAAGTTGACCAGATGCTAGCATATAGCTTCAAACAGTACAAAAGACGTTGTGTAATATTACCCAAAAAATTATATTTGAATGGATATTTCTGCTATTTTTCTTTGCTGTATATAAACAGGGCAAATAATTTTAAAAGTAGGTCATATAAGTAAGTTAAATTTACAACCTAAAATTTAAAGAAAGGAGCAGTCTGTAGCTCTTTTATTGTTGATTGAGTGATTTATTCAGTTTATTCCTTGGCATGTCAAATTTATTTGAGCCATATAAGAAACTAGTGGAAGTGGTTACTTTATATGCATTACTGGGAATCCACATTCAGTTTGTATGTACCTTTGAGGCAATAAACATCAATAGAACCTCCACCCCCACCAGTGGAATACAATAAAGAAAAATGATTGGCATTGACTTATCTTCATCATAAGAACAACTAAAAAGCTGAAGCTTGGATATATGCAGCTCATATTCTGTTGTTACAGTAGCCTAGTTAAAAAAATTATAGAGTGTCTTATTTTGTACAGTAATTTTCAGCTCTTTGTTTTTCATGTGACCAAATGTGATATAATTGCTGCTATTTTGTAGAAGAGCGGTTAGCTGATTCACTTCCTCAAAGCATAATTACAATATATATTTTAACTCTTTAAGACTTATTCACATTAGAATTTGTAGATCTGAGTCACCTTGGCCCCCTGTAGGGGCCGCATGATATAATGGATCAAGGTAAATAATTCCATCCATGTAATCAGTATAGTAAACAGTGTCTGGGATTTCATATACCGGGTGTCATATTATTGAGGGAACTGTAATCAAGAATTGGCTTCATGGAGAAGGCTTCAACATTTTCTGATCAATTTCATTTGATCAAGGCTCGTATGTTTAGGAAGAGTGGGATTTTTTTGGAGATTAATTGTGATTCACTCTACGCACATGGTAAGTGCCATTGTATATGGGATAGAATCATCAATTCTTTGTAACTTTTCAATATTATTATTATTATTTTATCCCTATAACTTAAATTTTCCTACCTATTGTGCCCAGTAAGAAATTTGTATTGTATAAATTCAGACTGTAATAAAAAAACCTCACATTACTGATGTTGACTTTCATTTCAATAAATGTTAGCTTCTTATATGCTGAAACTTAGAATATAATTTTTGCTATACCTGAATATAATAACATGTTTGGCAGTTAGAGGACAACCAAGATTGGAGGGCATTTACTAGGGTGAAGGTGTAACAGTCAACAGGGTTAAGGTACATGTCAACTGCTTGTTTCTGTTCTGTCACTTGACCTTGAGTTGATACTGTCTAGCATCTGATCAGTGGTAGCTGCTTCACACAATTACTGGCGGTAAAAACAGTGCAGATATATATTAACAATGCGTGTAAAGTTTTCTCATTCTGATAATATTTACTATATACTATATATATATACATTGAAGCATTTTTTTAAGTGCTCATTTGCATTTAACCTTAATTTTTGTTACATTGTATGTTATAATAAAATTTAATTTTACAGCCATATCGTAAAGTAGCCAGGACGTTCATTTTTTGTTTGAGTCTGAATTTGGACAGAGAAAAATAGGGGCGGATTGAGACCGTCTTCTGGGTCGTACAGAAGACGGTCAGATTTTAAATTTTTCATTGATGGGTATCTATTTTTTTCTGTTGAAAGATGGTCAAAAATGGAGAATGGATCAATAATCAATATGAATTTTTGAATAGGGTAGGCAGTTATTCATGCGTGAAAAAGTTATGACAAGTATCTGTTTATTAAGTCTTTTTCTATTGCGTGTTCCTGTGCTTTTTTTAGTGCTCTCATAGTTTTCTTACAATTGACTAAAAAGATACCTGAATTTGGCTGCATTCCTGCACTTATTCACTTAAGACTGCACTTATTGTTTACATTCAATTTTCCCCTTATTTTTCAGAATTCCATTTGAGGACAGAAATCTTCTGGAAGTGTGTGACCCACATCCAGGTTTTCCCAATAGTTATGAATATAGCCGATTTGCTAACAAAAACTGTGAGGTTACCGGAAGACAGGGTCTTTTAAAATTGGAAAAGAACTGGTGTGGTACATTATACGAGGAAACTGTGCAAATTCAACAACTTTAACGCAATAGCTTATTTGGAGTGAACTGAGAAAAATTTTACAACATGGCCAGTGCATTATATGAGGTGACATTCTTAGTTCGTGTGGATACTTTGCCAGGGGAGGTGGTCTGTGTGGTTGGCAACCATCCTAGTCTTGGAGACTGGTCAGCAAGAAAAGCTAAAAGACTCATGCTGCAAAGCAAGGGAGAAAGGTGAGTAGTTTTTCTACCTCCGTAGTTATGTGTTTTTATTGTTATTTATTTGTGTATTCACAAAGTTGCTATGTTTAGACAGGATAACGAGAGATTGGCAATCTCCCTATCATTCTGTTTGTTTGTCTGTTTGCCATGCTCATGGCTCATGTACTTAATGGGTAAAACACAGTAAATTTCCACCTGAGGGCAGAACTTCCATTCTTCCATAAACTGTTGGTTTAAGATTTTCATACTATATAAACAGTAGTAAAATTGATAAGTTACTTTTCTTCTGCTGTCTGTATGCTAGTCAATTACCCCTCTCTCTCTCTCTCTCTCTCTCTCTCTCTCTCTCTCTCTCTCTCTCTCTCTCTCTCTCTCAGTATGCCTGCCTGTCTCTGTTTCTGTCTGTCTTAAAAGATCATATGCTATAAGTCAGTTTTACACTCTCATCTTCTCTGTATCTGCTGTAAACTTTTGTTTTGGAATATAAAGGCTTATTTGACAATGTGCATGGGAGCTGCACCTTTTGTAATTTATTTACTTTTTGATTAAAAAAAAAAAGCTACCAAGGTGGCATTTCAACAGTACAGCAAGAGCTGAGGAGGATGGACATAGGTGACAGGTAGTCATGCAGACAGAATTATTATTACATGGTACAAATTTAGCCATTTCTTTAGAGATATAATCCAGGCTGGATGTAGAATAGGCCATGCATTAACGTGGCAATTTAGAAAATGGTTGTCTGTTTTATATTTCCTTTTAAACCACAATAAAGTTCATGATTTATGCTCTTGGTGTTTTCCTTTCAGTGATAGATACACGAAGTCTCTGTTATATATATAAATATATATATATATATATATATATATATATATATATATATATATATATATATATATATATTATAATAATTATGAGCAGGAAAATTTGATTCTAATTATTTGCCCACCACTAAGTATTAAAGTGAAAGTAGGAGGAGAGATGTTACAAATGTATTAGGCTTCGTTCACATGCAATGTCTATTTTCTATATTCTATTTTCTATTTGCGGTATGTCTTATGATCACGGTCTGTGGCCTGAATATCCCGCGGCGTAATTACTGGCAGCGCGAGCCAGTTACTATAAGTAACTGGCTCGCGCTGCCAGTAATTACGCGGCGGGATATTCAGGGCACAGACCGTGATCATAAGATAGCGCAAATAGAAATTAGAAAATAGACATTGCATGTGAACGAAGCCTTAGTTTCTAAACAAATGGCTAAAAGAATGCATGTTCATGTATGTGTGACATCAGATTTGTGTACTTGAGTTCTCATAAGCCTTACATTTGATGTGCTGTGCATAATTTTTACAAAAGCTTACAGTAAGGTCTTGTTCAGTATGTTGCAATGGGTGCACCATGAATAAACGTAACTTTGTTGCTAGTCCAAAGGACTGTGACCTTGGGTGGGTGGGGGGTGCAAAAATATTCATGGCAGTATCTAGTCAATGATTTGCTAACACAATGGATTAAGAATGTGTTGTTGAACACTTACATATATGTGCTTTTTATGAACCATTTGAAACCAGTCATTAGCATGTGGCATTGTGAACACCTTTGGGTGCCAACAGGAAGCTAAGGGGGTGTGAGTGTCAGGTAATGAAAATTAGCTGCTTAATTTTATCCATAGTGTAAAATTCATATTTGGTTGTTTATGCACACTTGTTATAGTAGTCAGACATCTGTGCACAAAATTCATGTTTTATTTTTCTTTCAGTTGTATTAATGACTTGTTTTTTTATTTGGTCATGTTATTGTGTGCTTTCAACAACTTACAAGTCAATATAAAAGTACTAATAATCTGCTCTAAACTGGATAAGGTAAAGCACATATAAACAGAAAGAGAGAGAGAGAGAAAGCCTACAAAAACAGTTCACCACTTTGACTACTGCATAAGGTGAAATTTGATGAATTTAAGATAGTTTCAGTTCCTGGACAAACAACTGTTTTAATGAATGTTGTTTTTCTTCAGGACTATTTTGGAATATTTAGTCTTCAAAAGAGAACATTTTCTATTGGTTAAATCATGTAATTATTTTGACCAGGGAACATTCTTTAATTTAGTATGATTTTGAGTTTTCAGAAAAGTGCTTGTTTTCAGAACACACTAAGGGTGTATTCCCAGAGATGTAGATCGATCCAGAGATTAAGATTTAGATCGACCTAACTCCCTGGGGGTTCACGCTAAATTGCAGTCAGCCGAGCGTGCACCATAGTTAATTACCCCCTTACAGCTTTCAGTAGGCGGGACAGACGTTTAAGCCGGCTAAGCTGACAGTAATCTAGTGAGACTCCCCACAGGGATAGATCGATCTAAAATCTATGGAAACGGGGTCTAAGGCACTGGCTGCACTGTACTGCCACCCAGTAACAGCCATTTTCTTTATTCTTTGCAGTGATGTTTGGACAACCGCCATAAAACTACCAGCTGACATGCAGGTGAATTATCGTTACTTTTGCTGTCGATATTTTGACTCAGAAGATGATGGTGAAGCACCAAATATGATAGTGACACGCTGGGAGACCAATCTCAGGCCTAGGACATTTGTGCCAAAAGGTGAGCATTTTTTTTTTTTTTTTTGATGCATGGAAATGTATAGGTCAGTTTAAAGAAAATCCATAATAATTTACTTTGACCAAGTAAGAACTGATCTGAATGATTAACAGTGTCTTTCTTGTTTATAGAAGGTTCAGTATTTCAGTTAATTAGACTGCTTCTGATTTTTTTTCTTGTGTCAAATTGGACTAAAATTTTGGTCTTACGTTTTAGACCAATTTCAGGCTAAAAATTGTGATAAATGCCTGGCTGTGGATTATTGTTAGCATTTCAAATAGATCAATGACATACAACCAGATTACTTCTTTCATGCTTAAGTATTTTAAGAATCCCATGTTTAATATTTTGTTTCCTTATGTCTGGCCCAGGTTATGTAATATTGAATCAAAATTGGCAAAATAACCTGCTTAGTACATCATTATTTGCTGCTTATGTCTGCCTTGCTGCCTTGTTAAGAATGCCATGTTTAATATCTTATTGTCTCCTGATGCCTGGACAAGGTTACTTCTATTTTAATATGATGCAAACAGTACCCTTGCCTGCCATGGATGTACATAAGGCTGAAATGAAAGGAATTCCTCAAAAGATGTTGAATTTAGTGATTGACAGAAAATGTTAGAAAGTTTTTGTTTTTTTTTGTAAAACAGAATATATTATATTTCTGTGAGTTGTTCACAATGTTTTTATTGTGAAATATAGATCTCATAGAGCTATTATCCCTTTCATATTATTTTTCCATCATTTTCAGCGTACTGTTTAAGTGCAGATGATTGTCAGACTTTAGTGGCAGAGTTTGGTCGCTATGGTAAGTTACACTCTTCAAAATTCAGATGATGCAGATCAGTTTCAAATTTAACACCAAAATATCCCAAAACAATAATTAAATCAAAACTACAATTGATGGACAAATTTTCAAAATACTTGTTATTATATTTTCCATTTATTTTTCTCTATTTTGTGTAATTTTTTAATCAGTTACTTAAGATTTCCCAGAAAATCTGCTGAGAAAATTTTATGCAAAAATAATAATAAAAAAATAATATTAATAATAATAATGAGGTACTGCTGACATTTTTCAGTTTGTTTTTTTTTTTTTTTTTTTTACTTCAGGGGGCAAGACCAGTATAGACAAAGGCTGGTTGGTGGACCAGACTGAAGTACAGCTGTATCTTCACACCAGTCCTATCAAGTTTTGGAAGAAAAGGCATCAAGACCAGACGTACCGTGTGAAGTGTACACCACTGGATCTCAAACAGAAAGAGGTAAGAGGAATTACTTGAAATTGCCTCGTGGCTTAACTTCAGGAATTTTAAGACGCTCATAAATATTCACTTTCTGTATGAAACCATCTTACTTCTTACATTTTTTGAATTGACATGTTAAATATTACCTATATTTTATTTATCTTTATTTTTTTTTATTTATTTTTTTTTTAGTGATTATGATCATGCAATTTGAATTTATTGCACATTCCTTCTCTCTCTCTCTCTCTCTCTCTCTCTCTCTCTCTCTCTCTCTCTCTCTCTCTCTCTCTGAGACTGTGTGTGTAAGAGAGACATATGTATAACCTCAGACAGTGATTAATAATAAAAGCTAGAACACTAAAAAGTATTCTGATGATATATTTCAGGCATATTTTCCTACTGACGAGGCTGAGGAAAGTTGTGATTTCAATATTCCAGTGAGCAGTGTGCAAATGGAGGTGGCTGTAAGTGTTACTGATACTGTTGCTTAAAAAGGATACAAAAATTCATGTCTTTCTGATATCCACTGCAGTTTTAGATTGTCAAAAACAAATATATCCAAAAAGAACAGTTGTCTTTTAAAGTTCAAGGTTTTTACAAACTGTTTGTTCTTTCCAATCACAAAAATTAGAAGTGTTCTATCACAAAAAGTAGAAGTTTTCTGTAAAATCCTTTATTTTTATTTTTTTGTTTATTTTTATTTATTTATTTTTAAATGATAGCTATGAAGCAAACAACTTAGCGCTTGCAGATGTCTGTGTATATATACACTGTGGCTATCTGAGCATCTAAAATAACATTGCATACTCTCATAAATGGAGCAAATTGTGTGAGCATGATGCAATGCAGAACATGTAAACTCATAATGGCATTACACATCATGTTATTCTCCACAGGTGCTCACTGGCAGGTTTGAGGGAGCAGACATGAAACCTCAAGATCAGTTTGGAAATGTGTACAGGGAAGGGGACTTCTTAGTTTTCAAGGCACAGACATTTGAAACAGAATATCTGGTTAGTTGCTGATAGGGTGTATGCAAAACTAGAAATTGGAAGTTTTACAATACACTAAGTAATATTTATTGTCCAGAGTCCATGTGTGTCACACTGCAATAATTTGGAGAAGAAAATATTGTTCTCATTTACATCATTATCCAATTGTGAAAAAGGAATAATTTCTTAAAAGTATATTTACTCATTCTGGTCAATTTCTTCTCTGTAGTATTTTTAATGATAGTAATTTGTATTTGTTTGTTTTTATCTAGGGTTTCTGTCTAGATTTCTATGTACATGAGGAGAACCAAGGGCCAGGGGATATTCCCAAACATGTGGGGTTTGCCCACATTCTGCCAAATATCTTCCAAGAGACTATTGGATCCAAAACTGTGCCACTAAGTGGACTGAAACACAAACCTATAGGACAAGTCTCATGTAGGATAGTCTGCATTATAAAACAAATGCATGCACACATGCTCGTGCGCGCGCACACACACACATGCAGGCAGGCATGCACACACGCATGCACACACACACTAAACTGATTAATTGAATTATGTATAGTTTATTGTTGTTACAACTATCCTTGTTTGGTATCTAATAATAGACCATTTGAACTAAAATCTGACTACATTTAATTTCAAAGGGGTTATTTCAGAGCTTGATGCTGGAATTTGTAAAAAAAAATTCATAGGTGAAATGCAATAAATTGTAGATATTAAATATATTTTGATGAAAAGAGAGGTTGCATTAGCTGACAATATATACTGGAGTATTTTTTTTATGTACAGACACAGATGTGTCTGTACATATTGCTGTCACCTGCGTCTGTCGTCGCCGTCGTCGCCATCGCCGTCGGCGCCGTGCACTTTCCTTGTAAACACGATAAGTGGAAGGCAGTTTTACTTTTTGNGTTTATTTTTATTTATTTATTTTTAAATGATAGCTATGAAGCAAACAACTTAGCGCTTGCAGATGTCTGTGTATATATACACTGTGGCTATCTGAGCATCTAAAATAACATTGCATACTCTCATAAATGGAGCAAATTGTGTGAGCATGATGCAATGCAGAACATGTAAACTCATAATGGCATTACACATCATGTTATTCTCCACAGGTGCTCACTGGCAGGTTTGAGGGAGCAGACATGAAACCTCAAGATCAGTTTGGAAATGTGTACAGGGAAGGGGACTTCTTAGTTTTCAAGGCACAGACATTTGAAACAGAATATCTGGTTAGTTGCTGATAGGGTGTATGCAAAATTAGAAATTGGACTCTGTTTTACAATACACTAAGTAATATTTATTGTCCAGAGTCCATGTGTGTCACACTGCAATAATTTGGAGAAGAAAATATTGTTCTCATTTACATCATTATCCAATTGTGAAAAAGGAATAATTTCTTAAAAGTATATTTACTCATTCTGGTCAATTTCTTCTCTGTAGTATTTTTAATGATAGTAATTTGTATTTGTTTGTTTTTATCTAGGGTTTCTGTCTAGATTTCTATGTACATGAGGAGAACCAAGGGCCAGGGGATATTCCCAAACATGTGGGGTTTGCCCACATTCTGCCAAATATCTTCCAAGAGACTATTGGATCCAAAACTGTGCCACTAAGTGGACTGAAACACAAACCTATAGGACAAGTCTCATGTAGGATAGTCTGCATTATAAAACATATGCATGCACACATGCTCGTGCGCGCGCACACACACACATGCAGGCAGGCAGGCATGCACACACGCATGCACACACACACTAAACTGATTAATTGACTTATGTATAGTTTATTGTTGTTACAACTATCCTTGTTTGGTATCTAATAATAGACCATTTGAACTAAAATCTGACTACATTTAATTTCAAAGGGGTTATTTCAGAGCTTGATGCTGGAATTTGTAAAAAAAAATTCATAGGTGAAATGCAATAAATTATAGATATTAAACATATTTTGGTGAAAAGAGAGGTAACATTAACTTACAATATATAATGGAGTATTATTTTTTTAATCATTTTAGCGCTGATGTTTGACTATATATGTATGTCTTAATGTTTTTAGTTCAGTTCCTGGTTATCAAACCATTAAAGGGCTATGACATGGACATGTCAGTCTCATATTCTCGCCACTGGAAACAACAGCGCCGAGCTCTAGATGTGGGCCATCGTGGAATGGGACCCTCTTACAGCAAACAGTACGTTGAATCTTACATGTCTGTCAGTTCTATGTGGGGAATGTCATAGTTGTTAACAGTTAAGAAACAATGTATGAATAACATTATAATATCCCAGGACTCAATACTTATTTTTATATTTTTTGAACTTGACAAGTGCTTTTATGTCATTTAGTCAAAAAAAATATTATGTTACACAGAACAGTTCTTTCTACACAGGAGACAGATATACAGTGAGACCTAAAAATTTACCCTTTGACTGCCCATACCACATATTATGTTTGATTTAGGTGTATGTTGACTAACATTTAAGTCTAGTGAATTGAAGTTGAGAAAATAAACTAGAACAATAACAAAATAACGCACACACACACACACACACACACACACACACACACACACACACACACATTTGAATGTTTCCAAAAACAAAGAATGAAGTAGTAATGGGCAGTCAATAAGTGAGATACCATATATTTCCTTAGTTTCTAAATTTCGAATTGGTTAACAACATAAAAATGTGGTGGTTGGCAAATACAATCCAATATTTCAGTTGTTATTCAGATTATAGGTATATTTCCCTGTGTCCTTCACTGATTATAATTTCACACTCATTTAGGAGTTTCCTTATAAAAGAATTGATATGTGTAAATAATAATGTAGATTTTGACTTCTTGAAAGGTGATCTGCCACAAACCTTGTTTAACTTACATTTTTTTGGAGTAATATTTGATCCAGCCTATCTATGAAAATCATACCTGCAGTTATACTTCCCTCTGAAGTAGTTGTTCAGTAAGTTGTCAGAAAGTCTATACTGCATGGCATAGGAGAGTGGTCTGCACTGACAAAATTGCAGTCTGTCCTCTAAATCATCTGTGATACACATGTCAATATGTGAATGAATTGTCAACTTGAGATTTNGATTTTGGTTAGCCAAGTTCTAAAAATGAAACTGAATCCTGATGTTGTTTAACTGACCTAAAATCACAAGCACATACATACAAGCAGTTGATGACTATTAGATGGGATTATCTCTCAGAAGCTTATATTTAGCAGTTTATCCAGGTTTTGTCCCAGTTGTCGCTGACTGTGGTGACCCTGTGTCATTTTAGGGAGCTGATTTTGTGGAATTTGATGTTCAGCTTAGTAAAGATCACGTGCCAGTGGTTTATCATGATTTGAGAGTGTGTCTTACTCTAAAAAAGGTTAGTAGAGTCCCATTAGTATGAAGTTTTGAATCTTAAGAATAGTCCAGAAATGTTATCCACTAGTTCTCACTTGTCACCATTTTATTTGTCTTGAATAAAAGGTAATGAAGATGATTGTTTTAAATCTCATCATCGAATGAGCATTCAAATTATTATTATTATATTGTGATTGTAATTTTTGTCTCATCAGATAATTACCCATTTGATTTTATTATCTCTCTTTTTTTAATTATCTCTGTGACAAAACTGAAGGTAAGCATTTCACTATCACTACATGATTGACAAAATTTAAATTACCTGTTGACTTTGAATGGAATTATTATAAGTATTATAAGTGATTTTTTTCTTCTTTTCCAGAAACATGGTAAGGAGATTGATATGTTTCATATTCCAGTGAGAGAGCTGACCCTGCAGCAGTTACAAAGTCTTAAACTTTCTCACCCTGCCGAAGTCAAGGAAGTACACTCAGGTATATAACAAGAAAAGAGCAAACCTGACCAAGACTTCTTTCAAATGAAAACCTGGACACAAGAGTGTCACTTTCCGGTTAAAAAACGAGGATTACCATCCTAATATCGCTGTCACTGTCACTGATGTTTAACATATAATATGCAGTCTTCACTATACACTTGCAAATAAATGAATAAATAAAAGTCATTCAAAGTTGGGATTGACACATAAATTTCAAGTTGACTGCTTAATAACTTACAAGTCATTAAGGATGTATCATTGCTTTTGTAATTTTTAAAAGCATTTATTTTATGTTATGGAACAATCTTAAATCAAGATTACAACCATTTAAGGTGAATTCAGTTGTAAATTTTGAGCACACACTCTGTTGTACCCAGCAAGTTTAAGTCTTGAGCCTAATTTTCAAAGTCATCTTCAGAATAATTCACTGCCATTGCTTTTCATTTTTAAAATGTCACATTTAACTTACAGATCATGATATGGAGACAGTGGACCCATTAGAACACCAGCCCTTTCCAACTCTACAGCAGTTGTTTGAAACATTGGACGAACACATCGGGTTCAACATTGAGGTGAAATATGCCATGCAACTTAGGGTAAGTTGACCAAATTTTATCAAACAATATCAAACCTTTCCAGACTGGATTTACCATTTCCCCGTTTCAAGTTGGGATTCTTGGATCATTACAAAGTCGTTTAGAATGACAACCCTCCATCCCTCGCCCCTCTTTCTCTCTCTCTCTTCTGCTAAATTAATTACTTTAAGACTGACTCCCCCAGCTCTCTTTCCTCACTCCAGACTGGCACCTATGAGGAAGACCAGGTTCACTATACTGAGAGAAACCACTACATTGACCACATCCTGCAGTGTATTCTGGACAATGCTGGGTCTAGGAGGATCATACTGTCCTGCTTTGATCCTAATGTCTGCACTATGTAAGTACAACCTAAGGGCGCATTCAGAACAATTGGATCCTTGGACTAACAGATCTGTGGATCAAATATGGCGCCACCCACTTTTAAAGTGTGCTGAGATTTAATTGCGTGTGCGTGTGCGTGGGGGAGATTCATTATCAAGTGCGCACCATATTTGATATGCAGACTAGTTAGTCCGCAGGTCAATTTTGTTGTGAATGCTGTCTAACACATACTAGTACAATTATTCAGCAGAGCATATTATGTATATACAAATTTTTCAATCCATATACTGAAAGCCATTTTGATAGATGTAACAGTGTTGTAGTACATGATGAAATGTACTGGATTCCCTGTACAATTTGTATGGTGAGGTGATAATGAAGTGAACTTATGCATGAATGGTAGGGGTTTTAAAGTCTGATGAATGCTGAATGAGAAGTGTTTCCTCTTATCGGTGTTGTTTTACCTGTTGTATAACACAATAAAATAATAAACAATATTTTTATTAATGTGTAGGGATCCATGTAACTCCCTACCCAGGTTCTTTCTAAACTGGCACTTGTCACTGAGGCATGGGAAAGGGAATATAACAACCTCACATCTTCAGTTCTAAATCTAAAGTCCCTTTATTATGTACAAAATGCAGACTTTATACACATGTTATCTACAGGGAATCTATATGGATGCCACCGTGGCAGCAACTGATTTACATACTAATTGTTCTGCAATAGTTAACAGGTGAGGGTTTCTACTTATCAAGTGTAAGATATGTATTTGTCTCAGGCATACCTGCACAGAGAATGGTAAATATTCATGCAAGACTGAGGCAAAGTGAATGCTAATATGTTGACTGCTTATCATAACACAAGTCAATATGTAAGTGGGTGAGCTTTCCACACACCTTCAATGGACCTTAACAAATGTCCTCACTTGCCTACATGTTAATGACTTGGCTCCTAGACGTAAAAAAACATCTAGTTAAGGGGAAGTAAAATGGATAAAAGCATAGAAACAGTGGTTTGTTCTTATATGTTGTTTTTAAAAAAATAAAACATACTTCCCAAAAAANAGCTGAATTAAGTACAGAGATTAAGTGCAGTGTCCAACAGATGACGCTGCGGCACCATTTTGGGGGGAAAATGTTTTGAGATTTTCTCTATAACCAAGACAGCTATTCAAGTGATTCAAATGACATCATAAGGCTGGGTGAAAGCACTACAGACGGGTACAAGAGAATTGTCTTAAACTATTTCATTCTGATTTCATCCTCTTTAACGTTAAATTACCCCATATTTTAGTGGGTTATTCACTTCAAAAGATGATAACTTTCAATCATGCAGGATTGTTTCCATGGCATTTGGTCATTGTCAGGTCAACATTAAAATCCAGTGATAATTTTAGAGTACCATCTTACAAAATGCCAGTGTAGATAAAAGGAAGACGCTCAGCTGCACAAGAATCAGCAGTTAAAGTGGCTGAGAGGATGCTTTTCAATAAAATGAGTGTGGGTGAGTTTCATAACCACGTGTTGATTGAAAAAAAAGGTCGATCTATTCATATCTTTTAAAAAATGAACTGGTTTGCCCCACCTGCAGCACATACATTGCGTTCTTTCAAAATTTTCTTTCTTTCCTCAGGAAATATACTTTCAACATGAACATTTCTCTTCCCCACGGCGTAATAGACTTCTTCACTGCTTAGTTGGTGTAAGACTTGCGACCTGTAACTGCACACATAATCGGCTTATAACTCATTAACATTGCTCTGGCAACAGCAAGGGTCCTTAGCGTGACTTAGTTGTCAGTCTGACTAGGGGGCATGCTGGTTGAAGAACTCATTAAAAGACAAATTTTTCAGTGCAAACTCAAAAAAAAAAAATATTACATCCAATTTTAGATACCACTTCGATTGATATAAACACAAAAAAACTCAAAAACATGCTTTTAAGGCCATTTTACCCTATTACACCCCTTAAACACATAATTGAACACAGATGTAAGTAAAATTTGGGATAAATTAGACATGCTTTATGTATTTTCTGTATCTTAATGTATTCATATGCCATTTCTTATTTATTTGGTTGTTCTTTGTAAAACAACCCTTTCTAATCACATTTTCACTCTTTCATTCATTTTGCATGTCACAATTTCCCTCTTTGCAGTTAGTGCATGGATAGTGATATTTATTAACTATTTTATGAACTTATGCTAACACTGCTTAATAATGAGATAATGCATTGCATTTTCATTTCTTGGTGTCCTTTCCTGTTGTTTTATGACTGTAAATAATAAGATGTATTTGTCAGTATAGATATTGTTTAACAGTTTTATTAAGGTGTACTATTTGTGCTTCAAATTGTATCAAAGACATTTTCTACGTCTACGTACCCTGCAAAGCCACTGATATTTCCCAATTCAGACCTTGAAAATTATTTAAAATCCCTCAGTTAAAAGTAACTAATGTTGATATTTCCTTTTTAAATGCAGAAATATATGGCAGTCTAAGTGACTGGCCAGTCATTTAGGATTTTCTCAATTTTAAATGGCATAAAGCATCAAATCCCAAGTGCAGGGATGGATCTAACAATTATTCTTGAGTAGGAGAAAATTCTTTTTTATTGTATTTAAGCAACATTTAGTTTGGCAGGAAAATCACAGATATGACACCTTTGATATCTTATATTTTAAATGGGATTGTGTTAGCAATATTTGTTTGCTTGAATCCAGAGTTATTTTTCCGTAGACGTATCTTAAATAATTATTAAATGTCATTGATTATTTAATTATTTGTTTCAGGAACAATCATTCTGTTTTTCCAAGTTGGGCACAAAGATTGTTTGAAATGTTGTTTTTTTTAACATTTGGTTTGTTTTTAGGCTACGGCTTAAGCAAAGCAAGTACCCAGTGCTGTTCCTGATGGTTGGAGAAATCCGTATCCAAGATGACCGCCACCCAGGTTACAGAGACAGGCGCACACTTACAGAGTCTATGGCCGTTAATTTTGCTCAATGTGAACAACTCCTGGTAGGCTGGGTGCAACTGGGTTATACACGTTTGGTTTATCATTCAGAATAATTACATGGTGATGGCACAAATTCTTTTTATGATTAAACAAGAATCAGTTCAATTTCAAAGGCTCTTGGTTGGTTAAGGTCTGTTGGTTTTGAAACTTCTGTTGTCTATCACTATTCAATCGTTTGACTCTAAGTTCTTTACTTTATTCAGCAAGACAAGTGGTAAGGTGACTTTAGGTTATAGTCACTGTCTGAGACACAGCCAGCCTTGTTTTTTATCATCCTTTTACATGCTCGGGCTATTATAATCTCCATGCTTTGAAAAAGTGCATGATTGGTTGATTGATATTTACAGATTTCCTAGTATTTTGCCATGATTCAAGAAGGATGTTGATAAAACTGTTCCTTCACGTATTTTGAATAGAAATGGTTGCTGGTCTTCTATGGTTTCTAGTTTTCTTCTTTGAAAGAAGAATGTTTGGTTCAGTCCCTACCATTAGGTTTGGCATTCAGAGTCATTTATGGTGTGAAAACCACCTGTCTGGTGTTTGCTGTGGTTAACAATCTAGTCTTGTAAATAGTTCTCATTCAGTCAGGCGGCTAGATAAGAACAGAAACAGGCGAAGTAATTTTACATCCATTAATAAGTCGGTATGAAGTTCTAGTAAAAAAAAATCCACTTTGAGGCCGCTTTTCAACTTGTAGTATTGGGTGTTGGAATATTTATTGGAATTTTTAACAAGGATAAATAGATGGTGCTGCTGCTGCGAAGGTGATTGCTCCTTTTTTTCGCCAGTTTCTTTCATTAGTCATATTTTAAAAGACGTCAGTATCTCTCCCTCTCTGCATTTCACTTCCTTGAAGTCATAGACTTACTATCTTGCTGCCAGATAGTAGTTGCTATGCTGTTGATGCAGTGGACATGGTCTCATATATGTGCTTGGTGGACACAGCTCTGTACTGTTTAGATCTGTCTTGCTTACTTTGCAACAACTCTGTAGATGTGCACCCTTTTACTCTGCTTTTTTATATTATGAATATATATATATTTGAAATAATTAGAGCATTTTTTTAATTTCAGCAGAGCAGGAGTGATTTGCTTTATCTGTTTGTGTTTTCCCCGCTTTTATGATTAAACTTAAAGATTATTTTGCTTGCAGAAGTAGAAATGATTTTTTGTTGATTTAAAAGGACATGTTTATGATTAACGAAATCTGTTTATTGATGAATCATTTGCAATATTTCAGTGCACAGCGCATACATTTTTATACGATCAAGCTAGATATCTCCAGTAATTTCTTCTTCATTCACCACTATAATTGCAAATGCACTTGCTTTAATTAGACTTATAATTGTGATATAGTTTTGAATAGTTTGAAAATGTGATGAATGATTTTGAAAATCATACAGCAAAGCAAAGGTAATAATTATCCACAGTTGATTAGTAGCTTTAATGCACCAGCTCAGGCCTGTAGCCAGGGAGGGTTCGGGGGGGTTCAAAAGAACCCCCTTTTTGCCAAGAAAAGTTGCCCTTTGGGTAAAATTTTCTCTAGGTACATGAAGGTTTCATGGTGAAATGTCCACTTTTTCAGAAAAAGAACCCCCCTTTTGAAATTGCTGGCTTCGGGCCTGCAGCTTGTGTACTGATTGCTTTACCTCTCCAGATGAAAAGATGGTTGTTTGATAGCTATGGTTTGAGCTGACTTAATACATAACACATAACATGAAAGGAAAAAAGGCACCTGAATATATGGGATGGACTGGTTACATGCTATTTTCTAAAACATAGAAGTACCTTAATGTAGCAAATTAATTGTCCCATCATAAACAAAAGTTTAGTCAAATGTTCTTTAATGGTTAGCCCCTACTGGTGTTGTGGTATCCCACATTTTAATCTGGTTTAAAAAATGAAAAATTATTAACTTTGTTATGTATATGAACACAAATGTATACTTGAAAACATTAAACGTTCGTCAGTTTGATAAAAATCTTACAACATAATGTCGCAAATTTTACAAAATGATGGCCATGAAGTCTTCCTTATAAATTAAAAGAAAAATTCTTCCATGCTATGGTCAATACTTAACAGGTAGTAAAAGTGAAATTTAGAAGGATATTTTTGAAGATTGGTGATCAAATTGCAGATGTCATCATAGCTATATTTAAGTTGCCTGCAAAGGTTTATTCATCCCAACACAAAGTATAAATTGCTTTGCTGTTCAAAACCAGGTAAATAAACATGAAAATATTTGTGGGATTTAATTCTAGTAATTTAGATTGTAATTGTTTTTGGACTGTGTGTCCTCTTAGGAAGAAGCATGCATTAATTGGATTGGGTTTGTTTTGTATTCAAAGTGTACAGAACATATGTGTGTAAGAAAGATGCCTGATGTTTGTCTTTACAGTGGTTGTGTGCATTTGAACAAGTCAAGTTTGAGAGGTGTAGCTTTTGTACAGACTGTTGCCATGTTTACGCTGTTGCCATGTTTACGCTTTCATTTTGTCTGTTGGAAGAATGTGCACATGTTTAGTCTGTGTTATTGTATCTGTGTGCTCGACCTCCTTAAAGGCAGTGTTTTAATTCCTTGCTTTGAAGGTTGAGAAAAAAGCAAAACAAATACCCAGTGCTGTTCTTGACTATGGGAGAGACAGACTTATGGGAACCGTATGATGATAAGCGTACCCTTTCCATTCCACAGGCATCAGAGTTTGCTCTCTGTGAGGAATTCTTGGTATGTGTGGATATGTTCATATAGAAAAGGCCATTTTTAATATTGATTGATTAGCATGGTTATGTATAGTCCGAGTTATTTCCTAGAGAAGCTATTATAGAATACTGTTGATTATGCTGGTATTAGTCATAGGTGTTACCTATCTCTGTTCTTTTCCCTACATAAGATGACTGTAAGGAGTCTCCCTTATTTCCAGTTCTGCACCTGCAGAGGTTTACTGTTCAAATCTACACTGAAGCTCTGCCAGTTTGAGCAGCTTTATACTAATTGCTTTTTATATTGGTGTTCGGACTCCATTCTTTATTTTTCCTCATTTTTTTTCTGTTCACTGGCACTGACAGCAATATTTTGATATTCCAATGATTTAAAGTTTGAACATTGTATCTGTTTGTTTATCATTGTAAATTAAATTTAAGGATATCAAATAAAGTAAAAGAAAAAGTTCTATCTTTCCTTCAAGAGCATATTTAATTAAATATCTATTGGTATATTATCTCATATAATGAGTTTTACATATTCCAAATGGGTTAGAGAAAGGCACATTTATTTAATCAGTTAAGATTACACAAAATTTAGGTTAACATATCGCCTCTTTGTTAATTGCTATTTTTCATGTATTTCAAAAGGGGGTAAATGTTCACTCAGAAGATCTCCTCAAGACTCCAAACCTTGTGAATCAAGTGAAGGAAGCAGGCCTTGTCCTGTTCTGCTGGGGAGAAGATAACAACAACTCTTCCAACATAGCTTATCTCAAGGAACTGGGAGTGAATGGCCTGATTTATGACAGGTGAGTAGATTTGCCTAATTGTGTAAGTCATCAGTATTTAAATGCCATTTACAGTGTTGTATAGTTTTTGTTCATAACCTAAACTCCTGTTTGACTGATTTTTTCCATTGTTCTGGTCAGGTGTAGTACTGCTAGAGAGATTTGCACTTTCTACTCTTCAGGGATCATTTTGAAAATGATTTAGTTTGATGTTTTAGACAGAAATGTTGCGCTGTACCCAGTGAATCTTGGACAGAAAATTCCAGATGGTCTTTAAATGTTGTTTTTTGCTATTCAGAATATCAGACTATAAACCAACTAAAGAGAATGTTTTCAAGATGGAAAAAGAAGCCAAACTTAAACTGTTGAAAGAGATGGGAGCAATCAGAACAAGTCATACGCTGTCAGGAAGTGAATCGGGCTCCAGCTCTCCTGAACACAGCAGTAACAACTCACCCGCACAGACGGAACGTGAGAAGTTAACACGACTGTCCAGTTTGCAGGAAGTTGGCACAACACATGACAGAGAAACACCCAGTCGTAGTTATAGTATCACCTCTCAGAGAAATGTTTAGAATGGTGTTAGTCCCCTATTGAGAATGTTATTTGGAATGGCATTTTGTGACATGTACCAATAAGATTACGTGTGGAAAGTTATGACACATTTTAGGTAAATATATACTCCAAAGTAATTCTATAAGTCTCTAAAATTAAGACTGCAAAATGTGTAATTGTTTCAAATTGTCAATCAAGTATCCAGTTAGTTGACATTTAGTGTCGCTGAACTTTGTTAAAAAGACAAATAGTGTCACTTTTTTAGGAATATTTAGGGACACAGGAGTTCAAAATGTCAGAGGAAATTTTGAAAAAAAAAATAGTACTTTTTAGTAAAAAGATGCATAATTTTCTTGGTAATGAGGTGTATTAAGTCGGTTTGATATACTTTGTGTGTTATTGAAAGCTGTAAATAACTAATGTTGCCAAGTTGCATGTAAAGCTATGGTAGGAGTCAGGTGGACAGAGGGACAAGTTTTACACTGTAGAGACATGTAGTTTTAGTGAATATTTTAGTTCATAGCTTTAGCTTCATTTTAGTGTTTTTCACTTTTGGGGATCAAACCTAGTCTGAGGGGTTTATAAAAAAACATATAGCTTGTTACGGTATGGTGTTTCTATTCATCTTGAGGAAGTTTGTCTAGGGATTTTCTTGTATGGTCATTTTATTTGCATGTGATTATTACTTTATGATTTTTAAATTTCTTATAAAGAATGTGATTTGAAACGGGTATACTTCAATCATTCAGAAGTTTTGAATGAATGTTTTTTTTTTTTTTCTTGCTCAATACCAAACTGTATTTTAAGAAGCTGATAAGTTCATTTTTCCTGGCTTTGTTGGAGGGCATCAAGAAAAATCTGTGGTGCTACATTTGTCAAACAACGTAGGTTTTTTTAGCTGAGAAAGGTTGTGGTGCACTGCAAGTTTTCGACTTCAAATTAAACACAGTAAGTGTGATACTAAGCAAAATGCTTTTCCTGTGGAATGCTTATATATCCCTTCTTACAATGTAAGAAACAAATTTTATAAAGACATTTTCTGATTGAGGAAAGTGTTTTATTAAGTTGAATGGCATGAACATTGGTGATAATGCATTTAAACCAAAAGAGAATCAGTAACAAGTTTTATGCTTTTAAGTATTGAAAACAAAAGTCCAAAGACAAATTGCTAAGGTGTGTGATTGCAGAAGTATTTTTTTTATTTATTTATTTAATTTTTTTTTTTTTTTTCAGAATGATTGAAAACTTAATTTCCGGTTGAGATAAAGAACTGCATTGACGTCACAGTTACACTTAATACAGTTCACATTTTACATCGATCCAAAAGTAAATGACTACACTGCAGCACATAAAGCAATCTTCCTTACATTTATATGTAAGATGCATTTTAATATAACTTAATGCCTTTTACATATACTTATTCAGTATTACATATACTTATTCAGAATTGTTTTTTTTCACACAGCATGCATGTACTGAAACTTACAAAAGTAGGTGTTAAAAGCATAATCTCATGGCAGTGAAGGGCAACAAAATGGTGCCTGTATTTTTCACAGGTAGTATGGTCAAATATTTTCCCATTTTTTGTTGGTGTTTTAACCAACATTAGAAATCACTGAACGTGCATATCATATGTGTCAAATGCTTGAGTATGTAGGATTCCATTACACTGTATAGAATAAATATGCTTCACAAAGTAAAAGGATATGAGTCATTTTGTGGATTGGATGGGTGAATTTTTGGGTAATTGTTTTAATTTGACACAAAAAACGAGTAAAAAAATTTCAAAGCTACTGTGTTAACCCCTTTGCCAGATGTCAGTAAGACTGAAACTGGGCCAGTAAATTTGTTCAGTTACTTGTCTAAAAGAGTGTGCTTTGGACTGGAAAATTATTAAACCCTCTGTATAACGGAATTAATTGACTGGGTTCCCATACCTAGATCGATCTTACAGGATTGATCCATCTCCGAGGGATTTCTCACTAAACTGCAATCAACTTCAGCAACTTAGATGACTGGCACGCCTACTGAAGCTGCTGGAGATAATTAATTACCCTCTAGCAGCTTCAGTTGGCGTGACAGACATCCAAGCTGCTTAAGTAGAGTGCAATTTAGTGAGAATCTCCTCGGAGATCAATCCACAGTTAGTACGATAGGGTCTTGAAATGGTCCCATTGACTACTGCTATTCTTCAAATCACGTGACACTGTGCACTTTTACTGTTTAACGTGCAGTTTTTTCAGAAAATTAAGAGAGCCCAGTCAAATATTGGAGTGACAAGGCGATCAGTGTTATCACGGCCTGATGATTATATGATTTAAATTCTATTTAGAGAAGTAATATGAATGTTTAAAATAACTTTTTTGCAAAGTTACTAGTACTATCGCGCACCTACAATTGATCTATCCAAAACATCCGTTACCTTTATGGCGATAAATGTTGCAAATAATTGCGGAGATGTCTATGAACTCAAATAATTGCGGCCTAATCTTCACTGTTTATCTATATTTTATAATTAGCATGCTAAACCAATGAATATCACATCAAGGGATGTGTGCAAATTAATCTGTTTGTTGGAAGTATCGCAGCAATTTGTATGAAGAACGTTCGCCGTAAATGTCAACAAAGAGTATCAGGTCGGGAAATATACAAGTATCAAACGCCTACAATTAAAAACACCAGTGTATCAAAATCTTAAGGTTCGCGCATTGAGGCATGCTATATATAGGCTTGACGACGAGAGCAGGATACTTATTTTTCAGTTCCCTTGGCAACTTAAATTTGGTTTGATATTGTATTATGAAAGTTATTTTTAAAGCCTCCTTTGAGATAATGTCCCTTTATAGCTGATTTAGAAACGTTGACTAGGGGTGCTCAAAACACAGTGAAGTCACGTCGCCAAGTTAGAAAAACTGATTGTATTTAAACATCTCTTTATTGATTGTCAACAGTTTTTCTATCCCATGCAGTTTTGGTGATAATCAAGCATCTTTACAATATCAATGATCATAAATAAGTGAATTTTGTGCGTTATAATAAATTTCTCTAGACCATTCCTACACGGTCATGCCTCAGTCCAACGGAATTATACCTTTTTTCGTCTTTTTCCCCATTGTGTAAAAAAAGCTACGCAGCTAATAAGGTGATCTTTGTTACAATCTACATTATAAGAATGTAGAAAATCCTTTGCTTTTAGGTTTTCGTATGGACTTGAACACCTATTTGGGAAATTTTGATGTATCTATTTTATTTTATTTTAACTCTTTAAATGTTATTATTCTAAATATGAAAGACATTTTGATCGAATTATTCTGGTAAAGATTTAGACAGGGAAAACAACTATCGTATATTTTGCATTGTTTACATTAATTTATATATCTGCTAGAATGTCAATAGTACGTAATAGCATAAGCTGCATTATGACCAATTACAATAACGCTGTGCTATTTTATCTCAGATATAAGACAAAAAATGATAAGATAAATTCTTCATATTGATCACATGACTCATCGCACAAAACGTCCATGTTGTAAGGTACACAATACAATTCATGTTGGCATAACCATAGTTAAATCTGGTTAAGCTTGGTTATGTGTAGATTCATATTATCCAGTTCACAGAAACCATTAACGTTCATTCATGCGTTGTTCGTCTGAACGGACCTGATACACCTGTGGACCGAACTCGAGGTATTTGGCAGGAAAAGGGTAAATATACAGACAGATATGTCAAGTGCATACATATAGTCAAAATGACGCCAGTTCTTTGTTCGCTAAAGTTACGTCACAGACTTTAAAAGTCATCAGTGCAGCTGCAGGTCACCTGGCGTTGCCTTTCAAACGGCTAAATCTTTATTAAGTCTGTTTGTTTGTTCGAACAGTAATTTTCTGATTTCTTTGGCGTAAAGTATACTAGATATGAACTAATTCCAACTTTTTAAAGGGATGTATATGTATTGATGTTTGCGCCCTTGTAATTGAAATCCTTGCATCATCCGCCGTCTTTGCTTAACATCCAACTGTGAAATTAATGCAATTTTTTTTAATTTTCTGATCAGTGGGTAACTTAAAAACTTAAAAATTTAATAATTTGAAAATCGTTAATATATGTTGCCATGTTCAACAGGAGATGCCATCCAAGAATCATAACCCCAACAGTGCTGATAGCAAAAGGAAGGAAGAAGAAATTCGAGAATTAAAAATCTACCTAAGTCAGGTGAGAAAGGGTGCACATTTCAGGCACCCGGTAAATTTGGAATATGAAAAATATACAAATCAATGCTGGAACTTACGTGGTAAAATTTCAACGACTTACCAACGTTGCGATCTCGTCCACAGACCTCTCACAAAACAGAGACCTGGATGGACTGGTCACTTCGTTTAGTGACTTGGTGCGGTATGAATTTGTAGTATGTTCGTCTGAGTCGCCTAGGCTCATGAATTTCTCTCGTCTGGGGCAGTGTCCTGTACGCGTAGGATCCAGACGTCCTACTATTTATAATGTTGTGATAAGATAAGACTAAGCGTGATCTAAAGGTTGAAGGTTATTGATTAGAATTCGGAGAAAACGGGGCTGGGCCATGGTGACCTCCATTATGAAAGAAAACAAAAATATGCATTAAGTCATCATTTTTATTAAAACAATAGGTACATTGGTAGTGTTTACCTCTACAGGAGAGGCATTTTCGACAACTTAAAAAGTCGCGTTGATTTATATAATTAGTCTATGATTATATCAGTTTCGACTGCAGCTGTTTTACCTTAGCCGTGCATTATGGAACCAAGCCATATCAGAATCTGCCTACGTTACATCACCATTTGATACTTTTCTCACGAAATGAATCATATTAAGAAAATTAGAATTTTTCCTCGAAAAACAAAATTCTCCTATTCAAGAGTCAATGCGTCCCTGTACTAAGATTCGATGTTAGTTCTCAATCTGAATAATTCGAACTGCCAGCCACTTAAAGATGCATACAAAGTCAAATTTTTGTTACAAAAACCAACCAAATGCCATCATGTAGTTTCAAGTAGTATAATTAAGATAATTACCAAAAGGCATTGTTTAATTTTACCCGAAAATGAGGTTTGAACAGATTTTTCTGCTAGCATTCTTTGCTGTATGTCAATGGGGCAGAAAAGAAGGTCACGAAAGTAGGGTAAATTTCCAACCAAAATTTTAAAGAAAGGAGCAGTCTACAGCTCTTTTATGGCTAATTGACTGATCTGTTCAGTTCATCCCTTGGCATGTCGAATTTATTTGAGTCTTATAAGAAAGTAGTAGAAGTGGTTGACATGTGTTACTGGGAATCCACGCTCCACCTATGCTCGGTTCGTATGCACCTTTAAGCCGCTGTACAGGAGGAGGTCGGGGGCAGGTACTTTTATTTGAGGGGTATTATCGATCTTAATTGGTTTTTATTGGCAAAGATTAGTATCTTTGCGGGATGTGTAAGCAAAGAAGCTATGAATAGTGCATTTTCAAACGCAGATAATATAACTTTAATCAAACATTTACAGTTTGCTCGTACCTTAAATCTTATCTATTTGCCCTTTACCTTCGACACCTCACAGCCATCAGAATCGTGGTTGCAAGGGTCGATCTAGGTGGAAAGCCACAGCTGGCGCATGTCCCCCTCCTTTAGCCTGCTTAGATTCGAAGGAAAATTTTTCTCCCTTAGAATATCAAAATAACAAACGAAACGAAACGAAACAAGCAATTCTTTCAATTACGTGTCCTGCATATTATGGTAAAATAGTTTGTGTCGTTTGGTTCTATATTTTTTGTTCAGGAAATACGATGTTCCATTAAACAAAAACGTTGATTCGACTCTTTGTTAAAAGAAATAAGAAGTACGCCTTTCTGGCAACGGATTGTAGTATTTGATTTAATTTAGATGTGAAAAGTAAGGAAGATCCGTTTAAAATCGATACTACAGCCCCCCCCCCCCCAAAAAAAAAAAAAAACAAAAAAACTGCTGTTACGTCATCAGCCCGAATTTGAAAATTCACCCTGGTGTATTTTTGTTGTGACATACTTAACATGAAAAGGTTTATTTCTACATTATTTAAGCGGATAAGGAAATAAATACTACCGACCCCCCTTAATTTCGTGCCCCCCCCACCCCCACCCCCACTCCAAATCAAAATCCAGCAGTAGGCAGTTTTCTTCTACACGGACACGCTTTCCAACAGTTTAATGGAAATTGGTAAAGATGATTTAAGGTACATTGTACGCGTTTGAAAATAATAAAAATAATAATTTCTATGTGTATATATACTGCATAGATACTTAAGTCTATCTTTCCAAATATGACCTTAAAAACCTATAAATCCCTTCAAATAAAAGTACCCATAGCCAAAAGTTCCTTCTGAATTGTCTAGTACAGCAAGACATGGCGTTTTAAATGATTGGCCAGTCTTTCAAAATTGCTTTTTTCCCCCCGAGGAAAATTAAATTTGGTGGGTAAATCCCGTGTTAAGCATGATGATATTGCCCTATATGTCTTTCCTTAATGATGGCGGGTCGTTCACTGTAAATGTACCGGAATTATAAAACATTTTGATGGATATATATTATAAATTAAATTTAATTCAAAGTGAAAATGACATCACATTTAGACAAGCCAAATGAAAAAAAATTGTTACATAATGATGAGTATGGAGGCTTATTCCGATGTTTTTGCATTCCATATCCAACCAACACTGAAGACTGTAAAACCATGGTTCGAAGAGGTGAGAAATGATTTTAAAAAATGCCACTAGCAGATGTTTTATGTCTATTCTATTCTAATTACTGTTTCAAAGCCTTAGATGATTTTCTTTTTTTCCAGTTAAATATGTAGTCCAGTTAAATGTAGTTTCTACATTTTGAAATTGTCTGTTTCTACTGTACATTTAAAATTTATCAATGACAACATTGTACAAAGTTATGTATTGGAATATTTTCACTGTCTATTAAATTAAGCAACGAGTGAGTTGATAAAAAAAGTTATAAACTATTAAGAGAAACGATACGAGAAGCAATGAAGAATTAATACTGAGAGTAATATTTTTTCTTACTAGGGAAGAGATGGTGATCCAGAGGCACAGGGTATTCCTCTGAGAGACATTCGGCAACGTTTGGATGCGTCTGGGGTGATGGAGCGGATCTCCCACGGGGGAAGGCAACGCATGCTGGAACAGTATGACGCCAATAAAGACGGCATGTACACGTACCCAGAGTTAGAACAGCTGGTAAGGAAAAAAATTCGATCGCATCCTCTTAGTAACCTGTGATGTTTCTGCGCCAATCGTAAATGTAGTGAATATGGAATAGTGGATATTTTGATTAAAAAAATCAATTTGTTTGTAGCAAATTCAGTGACAGGTACACCTATTTTAAAGTTTACGTTTAAAAACTATTTGAAACTATTTGAAAAATTGTGAAAATTTCCCCATCATCTTAAATCAGTGTAAGAACCACAATTGCTTATTTTCCTTAAATCATTAAAAACTGTGTTTTCTTCTGATTTACTTAGAATTTCACTCTTTTCTCAACTGGTGTAAATGCACTTCTTTTATCAAATTCGTAGTTTCTGTCAGAGAGACCAAGGCTAAATCTAAACAAGCTCACCAGATGGCAGCAGCTGAAGTTGGGACTCGTAAGCACAGTGGTGCCAGAGAATGCCACAGAGGAGAAGTCTTTAGAAAGTTACATAGAGGCCTACAACTGCAAGCCACCGCCGTTGTTCATCATCTTTATTAGTGTTCTAGAGGTTTGTGCCTGATAAGTTAACTTATTTCGTAACTGCATCATTTCATATTCTGTATATTTGCAGAGGTTTTATCCTAATGATTTTTCATATTTTTCAGATTTTTGTCATAACAGTAAGAACATACTGTACATTAACGTTTACACGAATGCGTTATTATTTTACAACACTTAGTGAGATACATGTATGTTTTCGGACGAAATTAATCTCTCAGCTGATATTGATAGTTTCGAGAGACAAAATGACACTTTTTTTTTGGTACTTTGTTCTTACTGAAATGTTTTACCTTTCAGACTATCATATTCATTGTATATGCTGTAGAATTGAAAGGTACCAAATATGAGGTGACTGCCGCCTCGGGTTTTCCAGCGTACAGTCCACTCATCTATAATCCTGCGCGGAGATACGAGGTCTGGAGATTTGTGACGTACATGTGCATCCATGTTGGGTAAGTTTTGTACCAAGTTTTGTACCAAGTTTTGAATATAGAATAACGTTCAGCCCGAAGAAATGCGTTTCACGCACGGCTCCTCAGACAAGTTATGGCACAGAGCTCTTTGCGATTTTTTTTCACATTTATACTTTACAAGAATTCAGTTTGATTTTCTGCCAATGTACTGGGTATTGTTGTGATTTACGAGTCAAAAGTCAAATCAAGACAGTGAGTCTCTAAGCGACATGTAATTCACCATGTAACTGTATGTATCTGTTCCCAGGTATACGCATCTTATTAGTAATCTGGTCTTCCAACTGGTACTAGGCATTCCCATGGAGATGGTGCACGAATGGTGGAGAATGATGATTGTGTACTTTTTAGGAGTCTTCGCAGGTAAAAAGGCCATATCTGTCCATTTGTTTGTGTTTTTTCCTGTTTAATTACCTTTCTTACTGTTGACTTTTTTCTAAATATCAGTTAACCAATTTATCAGATAAACAGAAGTAAAATGAGTAAACTATTTAATGTACCTTCTGATAGGGGTCTCTGTAGTTAATTATAAAATTTATAGTTTATTATAAAATTGCAATTTTTTAAATTTTCTAAATAACCACAGAGTCCCCCGTCGGAGGGCTTGTGTACTGCGTGTGCCTTACCGGGGACAAAGAATGGATGTTTTTTAAAGGCTCAGTTATAGGCCTACCGTTCGTGCTGAAAAGCTCAGGGCGGGGAATTGCAGGCTGGCTGCTCCATATGTCAGTATATACAGTGAATGTTATCTTGATAATTTTACGTCTCCTAGGCTCCCTGGCGCATTCTGTGACGGATCCGTCCAGTTTCTTGGCGGGGGCAAGTGGTGGAGTGTATGCTTTGATAGGGGCACAAGTCGGTGCTATTATAATGGTTTGTAAAGTTAAAATTCTTAGTATCAAAATACATGGCATGTGATAACCAATATTAAACTAAATAGGAATAAATGGTAGTATTAGTGGGTTTAAAATCCACTGATGAGACTTTTCCGACTTTTGTCGGAATTCCGACTTTTTCAGGGTCATTTGGGTCATTCTTGTGAATCGTGTACCCTGGACCCCCGGCCAATTCCCCTACCTTTTCAGTGAGGACTGGTCTCATCCCTGAAAATCAAAACTGAAATACAAAAAATCAACGAAGTGCGGAAGATTTTCTGTTAGTAATATGTTTCATATGTTAAAATGTGTTGTTTTTTAATTTGAATATTCTGCAATGGGTGTTGATGGATTTTTTTCCAAAATACCTTGAATTGATCTGATCATTGAGAGCGTCGTTTGATTCTTCAGAACTGGGAAGAAATGCAGCATCGCTGGATGGAGGGAGCTGGATTTGGCGCCGTGCTTAGGGCGATGTTAAGTGCAGTTACACGTCTAATTGTGATCGGCGTGTTTGGTAGGCGAACGCACAAAGGCATAACTTTTAAACGCACACGCACGGCTGTACCAGAAATTATCATCTTAGCGCTTATATGTTACATGGTTGATTATTTGCCAAATATAAAACAAAAAAGAAAAAATGAACACAAAGGCAATATATATTTCATATAAGCTTTAGCTTTATTTTTTTTACTTATTCATAAACGTTTCATTGCCTATCCCAACAAAAATACCTAAGAGTGGAGTGAAAATATTTTGAACTGAGGGAAATGTACCCTTTATTCTAGTGATAGCAGATGTTGGAATTGCTCTGTGGAAACGCTATGGCGCCGGAGAAAGTAGCCGAGTTTCCTACGCTGCACACATTGGAGGGGCGGTAGCAGGTAGAAAATATAAGAGGACACATTGTGTTTTGCTTTGCTGTAATGAAACCAAAAACTGCAAAAATAAATGACTGAAGAAAACCACTGACCAATCCAGGACTTCATTAAAGGGGCGGGGGTAAAGGGTTTAAATATCCCCCTATTCTTGATGACACCGCATTAGTGCGGACGCTGAAGGAGTGGATGCCCTGTCTGCGTCCCTGTCTAGACTCGCCTGCAACACTTGAATATTAGATGATCTGTAAATAAATAATTTGATACCTACAGCTTTTAATTTATTTACCAGTAACAATTTTAAAAATTAGTTTTAAGACAAATCATGTTGATAATGATGAAATTAAAAAGAAATTGGAAAGGCCGCATTTATTAGGATTTTGAGCGTAAAAGAGGTATAGTAAGTGCTGGTATTACACGTACGTTGTACGTATTAACTAATATCACGTTCTCTTTATAAATTTCAGGGGTTTTGATGGGCACGGTGGCACTGAAAAACTTGGAGAAAAAGCCCTGGGAACTGAAAGTATGGTGGATCTCTCTGGTTATCTACCTACTTCTTGTGTCGTTTGCCTTATTTTGGAACTCCCTGTACCCAGGATTCCCGGGCACCGACTGGACGCCATGTTGCCTGGCAACCTAGCAGAGAACACTATTCTGTCTAGCATCCGGTGAACATTATTTTGACATAAGACTGACTGGAAGTCAAAGCGCAACGTATCTTGGGGAAATTGACTCGTTTTTTCACTTTCTATGCACATTTTCTACTTTTTTAATGAGATAAAAACAGTCTCCTTCTTATTCGCCTTTAATAAATCTTTTCATTCGGCTATAATAAATCATCAATATTTAAAAAAAGTATCTGTGATTGATAGCCATCATATGTCCTGATAATTTTATTCTAAAACTTCATCTAATGAAAAACATTGAATTTCGAGGCTTATACCTGTAAAAGCGAGGGAAAAGGTAAATATTATAATAGGGGCCTACTCCGGAAAACGCGCTCGAATATAAAGTTTTGACGTTATAAGGAAATAATGTGGTCTAAACTTTGGGCAATTAGAAAAAAGAATCAAAAGAGCAAACAATTTGTTTCATGGGGCAAATCATGCCGAACATTCGTTGGTGAGCGTGTGTGTTTGTGTATGTGCGTGCTTGTGTGTGTGTGTGTGAGAAAAACTGCCCGTGAGAGACTGAGCAAGGCCTACAATACATGGAAAGTTCTTGGTACCGCCCGTGAAACTCAGCTTTAAGCCAAAGGGAGAGTAAGAGATCCCCCGCAGCCTACGGTATATACATTGGGGTAGTTATGTAATGCGGCCGACTCTGTAGATACATGTAGATAATTCAGGGGCGGATCCAGAGATAGGGCCTATTTTCTGACAGTCTTCCAGATTTTCTTTGTTAATTCGTCCTTAATTTTTGACCGTCTTCCGACAGAAAATATTAGATACCCGTCAATGTAAACTTAAAAATCTGACCGTCTTCCGGAAGACCCAGAAGACGGCCTAAATCCGCCCCTGATTTAATTGTCTGTTTTGACTGCCCTTTTTCAAAATCTACAGCCAAAAACATTTTTTAAAATGTGTTGTAATGGGTATTTTGGATTGATAAATCAAATGAGGGCACAAGCTCCTGATTTCTTGTATCACAAAACTATAGGGCCTACCAGCCCTGAACTCCACGCCAAAGGGGTGGGATTGGCTTCGCATCCTCGGATCCCCCTTCAAATAATCCTAGACCCGCCCCTGAAATGCATGCAATTTTAAATTGGTAGCAATTCTAAATTGGCTACGTTCAAGAATATGCTTAAAAGAATAAAAATGCAATGCATCGGAATGTAGGGGCCCAACTAAAACATAATGCAACGAAGCAGACTGACCTAACATGATATGCGGCGTGTCTTATCTGGGCATTAGTTGTAGTATCGGTGATGTGTTGGAAAGTGCAAATTTAGAAATTTTGCCGCAGTACGCAAGAATCTTTTTTCGTAAGTCAATACCTTGATCGTGATAGCTAAATTTGCAACGAAAAATATACTCTAGTTAAAGAGTTTGATTTATTTGAAGGACCACACGAACTTTTATTAATGATTGTAAATGTTCTAGCTACAGAGTTCTGACCCTTCCACTCTCCTCTGTCGCTGCACTACGTGTAGTATGATGTACACGTGCTAGGCGTCACTCTGAGCTCTGAGAACAGTGAAACAAGTAGACGACTACAGTGAGATAGACTTTTGCGTATTGATCGGAAAACGTTAATAGACATGAGTCTATATTATTTCAATTAAAATGTTAATTGATATCATACCCTACATTAAATGGTATTCCTGTATGTATATTATTATAATTATTGCAAATTTACAGAGTGTTTCTGATGGAGAAGGGCATCTTTGGACTGAAGAAGGATCCGCGTAATCCTATGCTGTTTTCCTTCTTTGCAAAAGAGGGTGAGGAGTGGCCATCCAGTGATTCAGAGGACTCTGATTACGTGCCAAGTGGTGCTGAGGAAGACACAGCTGAAACAAGGTGAAATATATAGTGAAATAATAAGTTACCTTGTTAACTGATATGAATTTTTGTACAATATACCAGTAGGCAAACTCAAAGGAAGACCCCAGGCCCGTAGCCAGCAATTTCAAAAGGGGGGTTCTTTTTCTGAAAAAGTGGACCTTTTCCCATAAAAACTCTATGTACCTAGATCAAATTTTACCCAGAGTGGACCTTTTCCCAGCAAAAGGGGCGGTTCTTTCGAGCCTGGACCCTTTCATCAAAAACAAAATTCTCTCTCTCTCTCTCTCTCTCTCTCTCTCTCTCTCTCTCTCTCTCTATATATATATATATATATATATATATATATATACAGGGGCATAACCACCTTTAAAAATTGTACGCACAGATTTTTAAAATTCCCAGCACGTAAAGCAAAATGTAGACTAACGCAACAGATGAAGGACAGTGTAATCACGGCATATGTACCACACATCGCAGCTTAATTTCCATTAATAATAAAATTATCATTTAAAGGGACAAAAAATAGGATTAAAAACGCCTTTTTANCTCTCTCTCTCTCTCTCTCTCTCTCTCTCTCTCTCTCTCTCTCTCTCTCTCTCTCTCTCTCTCTCTCTCTATATATATATATATATATATATATATATATATACGCTATATACGGTATACGTATATATATATATATACAGGGGCGTAACCAGACCTTTAAAAATTGTACGCACAGATTTTTAAAATTCCCAGCACGTAAAGCAAAATGTAGACTAACGCAAAAGATGAAGGACAGTGTAATCACGGCATATGTACCACACATCGCAGCTTAATTTCCATTAATAATAAAATTATCATTTAACTCAAAAATATTCTCGCGATTTAATGAAGTTTCAATGTTCTAATTCACCCAGAACGGTATATTTATTTATAAGGAGGCTAACTGAAACATCAACTTTGGGCACTGAACGAACTGCAGGTTATGCTGCATTGTCTGCTTGTATCGACCTGAATTCTGAATCATGTTGTGGCACTGTTGTTCGGAATGCCTAACTATCAAATTGGAAAAAAGCAGTCTATTCAGAATTCAGCATCTCATTCCCTTCGCAAATTCAAAAGTCCCACCATAGCATGTGATTCCCAGGTTAGTCAGGCGGTTAAGTCCAAATTATATCCAGAATTGTGCAAAAGATGATAAAAGCATGAAACTTTTCACGATGAATGACCCTTAGGTGTTTGTCAATTTTGGATCGGGGGGGCAACTCCAAAATTCACAAGTACCCGGATGAGAGGCTTTCTTAAATGTGCTGACTCAGCATTTTATGTACATTCAGATTTCATCAAAACGAGCACTACCAGTACTTATTATGATTTCATAAATAGATGTAAAAAACGTACGCTCACTGTGCACATCTATGAGAGCAATGATGACGTCACGATGACGTCACTGGGTGATATTGCACAATTTAGAATGACAAATATCCACTTTCTCCTACAGGAACAATAGTCGAACTCAGCAATGTTTCATTCCCGTAATTTTTTATTACAGAAGGGCATCCTTTAGGGTTAGAAAGGTAAAATTAGCTTGATTGCTACTTCCGAGACATTGAGCATTTTCAATATGGCCGTCAATTTTTGAGGAAAAACAGAAAAACAACCAGAAGTTGACGGATATACTTTATTTGTGGCTGTTGTGAATGTGTTTCCTGTCGGAAGAACACAATAGGGCACAGGACTGCATCCTAACACGTCATTGTTACTGATAAAAAACAAAATGGCCGCCAAAACATAGGGTAGAGGCAGAGGGTAAAGAAAATCAGTAAAATCAGCATATTTCTAATATTATCAGTCTAACTAACGGCATCTTCTTCTTTGATTTTTCCGTTCATCGTGATGTTTCGTTAGCTATTATCCTACACTGCCATTATCTGCTTGTTTAATATTCAACTTATGTGTGGTGAGGGCGTAATTCTCCAAAAATGGAAAAGTACATGCAGCTGTCGTACGGGACACGCGAGGAAATTCTTTTTCTCTACTGGGCCTGGGTGGCTACGGTGCATGTGATGCACGTGGTTAAGGCGCTCGATACACGTACTTATTTCTTGCTCACTACGTGTTCACTCCGCATTTCTGCACGCCCACTGTGTTTAACTCAGGGGCTTCGAGCATGTTGAGCGAGAAGTGGTCACTCCATGCGCACGGACCGTAAGTTTAAAAGAAGGGGCATGATCGAAAAAAGCATTATTTCTGCCACTTATCTCAAGTTTTAAAAACCCCTAAAAAGATAGCAAAGAGCAAGAGGAGAGAGGGGGATCGGGGACAAGCAAAGTATGATTGGGCTCAGCATCTTTGAACACTTCTTCGGATATGATGACCTTCTCAAACATGCACCTGTTTTTATACCTCCCCCAAAACATCTCAACACGTAAGATTCCCGTGCAAAGGACGAGCAACAACCATAGGAAGCCAGCAAGGCTTCTACGTCTGCATCTACTTGCCCTACGTCTACTTGCGTTGCCCTTATGTTGCCTGTACTCCTTGTACGCATAACATACATAGTGCACGCTGCGAGACACGTGCGAAAGTCCGTCAGGCGCAGAGATACTGAGCGGAGGCTGAGCTTCTCGCGTACTGTCCACGCATTACTTCTTGCGCACTAATTACAATCACCAGTTACTTAATTTCTTCCCTACGATCTAGTAAAGGCCCAGCCAGACGAGAGGAACCTAAAAAACCGTACGTCCTGAAAATCGTGCATTGGGACCCAGGCTTAAGCTTATGTTAGCGACAAGACACGGCACAAGCATGTAATGTAAAGGTAATTGTCGTTGCCTGTAGCCACTTACGATGTCATAAAAATCGCACGGAAAATGTGTACGAGTTCATTGTACGGCGTAGCAAATGTCATTTAGACTTTAGCGATCCAAACGAGATGAAGAGGCAATTTTCATATCGTCAGCGGAATGTCGGTAGCGATCCGAGCGAGACAAGAAAATAATTTTCTTATTCGTTTTAGGGACTTCGTCGGCAATAAGAGAAGGCAATTTGAATATTTGTTCAAGGGCCTCATTAGTGGAAGATCGTCAGCGGGAGACCCGGTGGTTAGGTTGCGTTCATTCGCAACTGAGTGAAATATGCTAATGTCTAGCCCTGCATGAGCAAAATTTATTCACATGGTTGAGATGGTAACAACTGACTACTGAATGTTAATTTTGCATTAAAATTCATGTGCTCTAGCAGTTCAAACTCCCACCAAAAAGAAACTGCCAAAATAAGTCCGTAATTGATTTTTTAAAAATATTGTTTATACTATTTTTTAAATATTTTTATTTATATCCCCCTCATTTGAAAATTATTCTTTCTTTTTTTTTCATTTCATTTCTTTTTTTTTTGAATGTCAAAAAAGCTGATAATGATAGGTAAGGATCATGGCTAATTAAAAATCAAAATGAACAGAAGGCATAGAAAGTTTTAATTAGACTAATTATACAAGTTATAGACTGATTATATGCGTTGGCGGCCATTTTGATTTTTCAATAACAGAAACATGCTAGTATGCAGTCATTTATCCTATACTGTGTTCTTAAGACGGGAAATGTATCCACAATAGCCACAAATAAATTATATCTGTCAATTCTAAAATGTTTTTCTATTTTCTCTATATATTGAAAATGCTCAAAGTCTCGGAAGTAGAAACCAAGCCAACGTAACCTTTCTAGCCCTCAAGGATGCATTTCTGTTATGAATGTTTACATGAAAGATCATTGCAGGGTTCGACTATTTGGCATATAGGAGTGAGTGGATATTTGTCATTTTGTATTTTGCAATATCACCCAGTGTCGTCATCATGACGTCATCATTGCTGTAATAAATGTTTACAGTTAGTGTATGTTACTCAAATTTACTCATGTTATCATAATTAACGTCGGTAGTGCTCGTTTACGTGAATTCTGGATGTACATAAAATGCTGAGTCAGCATATTTTAAGAAAGCTGCTCATCCGGGTACTTGTGAATTTTGGAGTTGCCCCCCGATCCAAAATTGACAAACACCCAATGGCCATTCATCGTGAAAAGTTTCATGCTTTTATCAAGTTTTGCACAATGTTTTGGCTTAGCCGCCTAACTAGGTGTACACCAGTTCTCCACGATCTTCATTGGTTACCCACATGCAGCCTCAAAGAATAGTCTATAAGATGAAATTCTTGACTTTACATGAACAATATATATATATATATA